GAGAGGAGAGGAGAGGAGAGGAGAGGAGAGGAGAGGAGAGGAGAGGAGAGGAGAAAAAAGAGAAAAGAGACTCCTAAGGAAAGGACAGCCTGAGTAGTCAAGGTGAAATTTCAGATTAGGGAAATAAAGTGACCCTTAATCCAATCCTGTAACTGGTTCAAAAGCAACCTACACAATAATTCAAACATCACATAAGAAAAAGTAAACACATGGCAAGGACACACGGCAAAATTTAAAAATGTACAACTTTGGCTGACCAGTTTCCTGATTCCAAACTAGTCTTTAAAATCTGCCAGTTACTCAACTCTTTTACCAAGGTCAAAACTAAAGATATTAAATAATGCTAACTCATACAAGAACATCATCTAATTGCTTTGAAATGGAAGCTGGCTACTCTATTACCAATGTTACTCAAATGACCCTATATACATCAGGGCTGTGGACTTGAGCTGACATCCCACTATTAAAGTGAACATATGAATAGTCTGTTCAGTAACTAGAATTTTATCTGTGACACAGGGACAGCAGAACATTTAACTTATATTCAAAACTCAAAACAGAGAAAGCGCCAAAACTAAAAATCATGACTTCTATTAATATTTTATAATGGATACCACAATCTTTAGATCCATAAAATAGATTCCTACTATAAATTATAACACTCAATTTTATTTATTATTCTTTATAATGACATCCTAATATTTAGAACCATATAATAGATTCCTACTATAAATTATAACACTCAATTTTTTCATTATTCACATAACAGTCTATATTTTCGTATCTAGGGAAAATGACTTTGAGAGACATCTTCACAAGAAAATGTCATGGGAGCTATTGAACAGTGGTAATTGTATCCTAAAGATTAACCTAACATAATTTATGGCCCAAACTGCACACATACTCTGTGTATTATAACTTAAAGAAATTATATACATATATATAATTTTATATGTGTATATACATATATACAAAAATTATATGCATATATACAAAAATGTTAACAGCAGCATCACTTAAAACAGTACCCTAAACATTCAGTAAGAGTAAGTTGTGATATACTCACATAAATATTAAACAGCAATGAAAAACAAACAGTAATGAACCAGACTCATGCTTAGCAAGCACAAAGCTCACAAAATGTTTGAGAAAAAAATTACAAATGATTGTCTGCAATGCAATTAATTCTAAAGTAGGTGTGTTTTTATACTAACTACTAATTAACAAACTAAATACATGAAGAACACCGAGACGCCAAACATGAAACAACCAATTTAGGACAGCTCTGAGAGGAAGGGGAAGCAGCCGAGCTGAAGGCCCTGGTGTCAGTCTCCTCACACTCTGTCAGCATGTTGTATTTCTTAAAAAGAACAGTGGTAGGTACACAGCAATCATGACGTTTTAAAAAAACAAGCTAAAATGTACAGTGAGCCCTCCATACCCATGGCTGCACATTCAGAATTTCCACCAGCTAAGAGCGGAAAATACTGAGGGAAATTGCACTTGAATTGAACATGCAGCCCTTTTTGTCAGCATTCCCCCAAACAACAAACAGTACAATGATGAGGCTTGTAAGTAATCCAAGGACAACTGAAGTACAAAGATGTGTGGGAGTTATATGCAAATACTATACCATTTTATAACAGGGATTTGTTCCTTCCTATGGACTTAGATTTGTTGTTTTCAGACAGAATCTTACTCTAGCCCAAGTTAACCCCAATATACTCTGTAGCCCAAAATGGCCTTCAACTCAAAGTGATTCTCCTAATTCAGTCTTCTAAGTGCTGGAATTATGGGCCTGGTACCTCTGAAGTTTTTCATTTTCTTTTTTTTTTTGTTTGTTTGTTTTTTATTTGGCCGGGGGGGGGGGGGGGGGTGTCAAGACAGGGTTTCTCTGTGTAGTTTTGGTGCCTGTCCTGGATCTCACTCTGTGGACCTGGTTGGTCTTGAACTCACAGAGATCCACCTGGCTCTGCTTCCTGAGTTCTGGGATTAAAGGTGTGCGCCACCACCGCCTGGCTTAGTTTGTTTTACAATCCAGAGATTCTAGAACAATTCCCCCACAGACACTGAGATATGACTATACCTGAATCTGAAAATGTAAATACTACCCTAGATAGAACTGCTGGGTTTTCTGCAGATCAAAGAAACACATTAACAATTCTACATGAGTCAAAATACTCTTAAGAATTCTCTATATTGAGAATTACATGGGCTAGACAGCTCTAAAGTTAAGAGCACTGGCTCCTCTTCCAAAGGATCCAAGTTTGATTCCCAGAACCCACATGGTGGTTCACAAGCATCTATAACACCAGTTCCAGGGAATCTGATGCCATCTTTTGGCACCAGGTATGCAAGTAGTACACAGACATACATGTAGGCGAACACCCACGCACATAAATTTAAAAAACAAAACAAAACATGTGGGCTAGAGAGATGGCTCTGAGGTTAAGAGTACTTGCTGTACAACTGGTCTTGCAGAAGACACAGGAGCATCTCCTAGCACTACACAGTGGCTCACAAGCACCAGGAGCTCCAGTTCCAGGGAATGACAACCTGTTCTGGCCTCCATGGATACTGCATGCACATGCAGACAGGCAGGTGTTCTCGTTCACACACACACACACACACACACACACACACACACACACACACACTTAGTTTTTTGTTTTGTTTTATTTTTTTAAGAAAAAGAACAACATGCTGGAAATTGTTCTTTTGTTGTTGTTGTTGTTGTTTTCAAGACAGGGTTTCTCTGTATAGCTTTGGAGCCTGTCCTAGAACTCGCCCTGTAGACCAGGCTGGCCTTGAATGCACAGAGCTGCCTCTCCTTCCAAGTGCTGGGATTAAAAGCATGCCCCATCACCACTCAGCTTTTTTTTTTTTTCCTTTTTTTTGGAATTGTTCATTTTTATCCCCAAGAATGTACTAGAAAGTGGTCTGTATGTAATGACATGGTCAGGGAAACAGGAAAATAAAATTGAGATGGATAGATTACTTCTTCAGCCATGGATAAGAATCGAAGAAAAAACACATCTAGTAATAGAACAAACTAAATCACACAGCTTGGAAACATGTTATACAAGATGTCTTTAATTTTAAAGTATTACCTCTATTCAAAGTATTGATGCAGAATACTAATAAATCCTTAAAAGATTCTTCTTAGGCAAATATTTATACACATAAAAATGAAAATCCAAAAGAAAAACAACTGATCCAAGATCAAAACTAAATTAATTTCCAAATTAGACATAATCAGAAGGTCAGTAAGTTATTTTTCTTCAGTGTTAATCCAAGATGGTGACAGAAAGAATTCAAGACAACCACCATTGGCACTGTGTTTTAATTCAGAAAACTAAATTATATTAGAAAATTTCAAATAAAAGTAATACTTTGGCTAATGATTAAATTACCAGACCAGTGCATTAAACCAATGAACATGATCCTTCAAAAGCAACAAAGAAAACATACATGGCCTAGGAAGGTTTTTTACGTTTCTTCCCCTTTTATTTTAAGTAGTAATCTTTAAAAATGAAAGTTCAAATTAAAAAGAATATTTGAGGAAGAGATTAAAGGGAGCTGGAGGCATGGTAAGAAGTTCCCAATATGCAGTGAGGTTCCTTATAAGTGTCATGTTAAGAATGTCCGAGACCTCAAACAATGGGACACAAAAAGGACATTTTCTCTGAAATGGCACAGGCAGAAGGTGAAAGAAAGGTGTTAGAGGAGGTGAGGAGAGCTTGCAGGGGAGGAATTCAGAGTAGAGAGCAGAGAGGAAACAAGGACCGCACTGCAGATGAAGAGGCACAAGCAGAGAGCATCCACAGCCCTCCGGAAGCTGCAAGGCAAAGCTATCCACAGTCAAGGCAGGGAAAGAACTGGCCAAGGAGTACGAGGACATCTTGGTTGCCTTTTTAAAAGCATTTTTAACCCAAGAGTATGCCTCCTGGAATTTGATGCCTACACATTCATATATTTTCATTTGCTTCCTTCTAATTAAGAAGTAAAATGACATGCTACTTAAATCTTTTGTTATACAGGGCAGCCTGGATAGACACAATTACTCAACGACAGAGCCTGTGTATGGCCTGTCCTCCTCAGCAGGGTCTACTACCAGAAGAAACGGTTGGCAGGACTCATGCATATTATGTCATTAGAAAAAGGGGTAGGGAAGACCAACCTGCCTCTAGAAGCCCGCTGGTCCTCCAGGTAGCTCCTGTGTTCTGGCCGCCTACTGAATTACTGTGCTCTTGAACTACTGCAGCCGCCAATAAATTGTCCACATTTACCACTTCTGGGTCAGAGCTGGTGTCAGACATATCATAATGAGCTACAACTGGAGGTCCATCTAGGGAGGAAAAAAAATGTATACTTGTATCTAACTTGTGGGGTAAGAAATATCTCTCCAACTAATTAAGAGCCCACTAAATGCCAGGTGCCTTAACTTAGAGCTCACTTTATGCATCTAGTATTGAGAACATGATGCTGAAGTAGAAAAAAGTGGAGGGACACATTTTGGAAAGAGGAAAAGGGCATTACTATGAAGAACAGAAGACAAGACTACACTACACAATGGAACACTGAATTATTCCTACAGAGCAACAGATTAAGAAAAGGCGATGAGGACTCCACAAAGAAAATGGGGGGAAACTGCAGTAAACTGCTGAAATCTAACTTCATGTCTTTAGAAAAATGAGTTTAGCTCTTTCAGTAGCTAATATTAAAAATTCCTAGTAGACTTAGAAAGGAAAATCACACGCACATTTTCTTATTTACTAAACAAAGTTGGCACAAGAGCCCTGCTCCACTGATGTATTTATCGCCAGCAAGGCCCTTGTACAGTAACAGGGATGTTACATACTTTATAACATTCTACAAAAAGGCAATACCACAAAACCCACTGTCAGGATTTTGCTTTCGCTATTTTATGAAGGAATAGGGATATTTATATTTTCTTTTCCCTGAGAAAGATAAGTTCATTCACGTAAAGGACAGCAATCTTGTGAGTAGGTTTTAAAAGAAGTTGAGAAAGTTCTCATTAGAAAAGTAAGAACATGCTCCCAACCCCAAATCACGTCACTAACTGCAGGTAAGTACCAAAGTAATTATACTACAGTAATTCATGCTACAATTGCCCAATATTCATGCTTACAAAATGAACACATGCTTTAAATTGGTATTGCCACCCTCTTCCTAACACAGTAGCAAAAGTATTTTGAAATAGCTTTCTTTCAGGAAATCCCTCAACCCCTCCCCGCTTTTAGAACAGAGCTAAAGGGAATGCTGTCCTTCCCAATAGCTAGCTATAAAGAACAAGCAAACTGTTTTCTTCACAGATTTTTAACATCACCCAACAAATGAGTATCAAACACACCTATTTATGACTATGAATATATGTATCAGTGAATCAAAAAATAACATACAATGAAGGCTTATTGTTTCAAATACATACATCCATTGTATAAACTATCACTGAACAAAACACAGAATACAGATGGGCTATTTATCCCATATCTTATGTGGCAACACTTTTTAAAAATAAAAAGTGATCAGACATAAAAGCAAATGAGTTGTCAGGTGCCACTATATAAAGGACAGACACATCACAATATGAAATTCTGACGATCATGGCAATTTTAGTTAACTACTTAAAATCATTTCCAGTTTCCTTACAGGGGTAAATCAAGTTCATAAAAGCCCATAAAATTTAACAAGATGGTAATGGATTTTAGATCAACAGCAAAATTTGTTCACGTTTGAGGTTTTTCTTTTCTTAAAAAGTGCATTTTCCTATAGAATTTTCGTCAGAGTTCGAAATGACGATTGTGGAATCATGATACTGTGTGATGTCCAAATACTTAGGTACAGAAGGTAAGGGGACCAAGTACAATGTTGACTATGTGACCAGAGGTTCTATTTTTGAAAGAGCTTTGTGGGTTTCTTCCATTGTTTGCAAAGAATTATTTACTGATTTATTCTAAAATTTATATAACCAATACCAATTCAGAGCCATTTATCCACATATTCCCCATCTTTGTCCCCAAATGGAGAACACAGGTCACAGGTCAAGTCAAAATTGTACTACTCCTACATGTATAATCATGCAAATAAGTATAAATGTATGTATACATGCAGAGTCACATCACCTACCCATGGAAATAACTTGTCTGAAAGTCTTCATCAGTAGAAAATACAAGCATAAACTTGTTATCTGGCTTCATTCTTGTATCTTCCATATTTCCAAACTGCACGCCTTATAACTTAGCTTAAATTTAGTATTTATCATAAACAAAGACAGCAATATTTCATATTTTAATTATATTTAACAGTTAAATTATGATCACTGTCATTTTTCATTTCCAATGGATTCAAACAATGACAACTCAGAACTATACAAACTTTAATAAAGTACTTTTCCAGCTTTGACTTTCAGTGAGAGAGCACTATTAAAGATCCTGTGTTCCAAGGTATCTTACACCTATCATTAGTAAGCCAAAACTAAGTAAATGTATGGCACTGGCAATGGAGTTTGAGTTGAAATCTGAAAAAATATGTGATATTAGCTAAATAATGGTGACAATTTGTGATAGTATTTTAAAGTGTGATTCTGGCTGCATAGAATTTAACTTTTTTCAGCTGATTATTTTTACATTTACTATGGGAGTGTATGGGAGTGTGTGTGTGTGTGTGTGTGTGTGTGTGTGTGTGTG